CATTTCTTTCTTTTCCCACCTGTTGCTTTATTTTCCTTCTTGAAACTTACCATGTCCTGAGGAAATCATGTTGTGTGTTCATTCTGTGTCTCTCCCCACTAGAGTGTTAGCTCCCAAGAATAGGAACTTTGTTGGTTTTGTACACTTAGCTATCTCTAATGCCTAGAATAGTTCCTGGCAAGTAGTGGGTGCGCCACAAACGTTTGTTAGGTGGATTTGTGAATGCAGGAATGAAGAACACCAACATTAATGTTGGATACACTCAAAGGTATATTTTATAGCATTGACTTCTTTCCTCATTAGCCACAGAAGTAAAATACTTAAAATTTTGTGTCTTCTCACATTTGTTAATAGAAAACAAAGTATAGAAACTATGTTAGAAATTTTTCTTTGTTACGTTTGATAACTTAGGTTCTGCCAGATGTTATTAAAAATCCATAAAAAGGGATACAAACCAAAAAAATAGATGTCCGTGATCTTGATAAGCATATACATTTTATTTCTTATAATTTGGATTAAAGCTATGTTATTTGTTATTACTGAACCTTATACAACAGTATTTCATCATTTTTTAAAACATTTCAATCATGTTTTAATCACATAATTTGTGATAATTTTAAAATTTCTTTCTTCCAAGAACACAATTTTCAACGAAATACATTGCAGGAAAAACCGTTTTTACTTATGGTTCAGGGACCCTTGAAGCTGCCCCCATGAGCCCAGGATAAGGCTCCTTAGTGGACAAGTCAAGTTCACCGTGCTTCCTGGGTACTCGAGGTCCCTCAGTGGGGCCCTCCTAGATTTCTCCATTGCCCACCTCTGCACTGAACTGTGCATTCTAAACACTTCTAACCATGCTGCTTTTCTCTGTCGGTAATGCTAGAAAACAGAGAACAACAAATAATTCCTTAGGTTTCGATAAGATTTCCCAGTGCCTTGCACGGTACCTTATAGGTAGATTTTAGGCATTCCATTTACCTAGTTTGAGTAAGCAGAATTGTTTTAGGCTCCCAGCTAATATTGTTTGAATAAACGGCATTCCCAGGTCACTGAAGGTGTTTAGTCAGAAGTCTCACAGCTGCTGTTTGAGATTATAGAAGATACACATTGTCTGTAGAATGGCCCCTGTGGTGCAGATTAGATGGACTATTATTAGAATAGATGCAACATCCATTCTAACAATAACATTAGCTGTAAATTTTTTTGTTTTGCTTTCTACTTAGGAAAATAGCATATTCATTACTTTTTAAACTTAAAAACTCATTTTTGGCCGGGCACAGTGGCTCACACCTGTAATCTTAGCACTTGGGAAGCTGAGATGGGAGGTCGCTTGAGGCCAGGAGTTTGAAACCAGCCTGAGCAAGAGCAAGATGCCATCTCTGCAAGAAAAAAGAAAAAAGAAAAATTAGTCAGGTGTGGTGGCATGCATATATAGTCCCAGCTACTCAGGAGGCTGAGGCAGGAGAATGGCTTGAGCCCAGGAGTCTGAGGTTGCAGTGAGCTATGATCATGCCACTGCAATCTAGCCAGGGTGATAGAGACCCTTTCTCAAAAAAAAACAAACAAAAAACCCCTCATTTTTGATTCATTAAACAGGTACTGTATTTCCTCATTCAAAAATATGTTCTAGGTGCTTTCTATTAATAGATAGCAGTTCTGCTGTGGGTCATGAGGATGGATGGTGAACAAAATAAAGTCTACTCTTGTGGCGCCTGAACCGTAGTTGGCTGAGACAGACAGTAACAAATTAATATGTAATGTGGTAGGGGTCATGAGGGAAAATAAAGCAGTGTAAAAGGATAGGGAGGGAGTGTTTGAGGAGGGGACGGTGCTATTTTCTATGGAGTGGTCTGGCTGGCTATTTTAATGGGATGACATTTGACCAAGAATTAAATAAAGGAGGAGCCCTCTTCTGAGAGAACGGTAAATGGAAAGCTCTTGAGGAGGTATAGTGTGCTTGGCAGTGTGAGAAAAAAACAATTAGGTGTGTTTGTGGAGGATAAACAAGACGGTGCAGACAGGCCCAGTGCAGTGGTTCATGCCCGTTATCCCAGCACTTTGGAAGACAGGAGGATCACTTGAGGTTGGGAGTTCAGGATAAGCCTGGGCAACATAGTGAGACTTCATCTCTATAAAAAATTAGAAAATTTAACCAGGTGTGGTGGCATGCACCCATAGTCCCAGCTACTCGGGAGGCTGAAGTGGGAGGATCGCTTGATTCCCAGAGTTGGAGGCTGCAGTGAGCCAAGATCGGATGTTACCCTGTCCTCCCCCCCAAAAGAGATAATGCAGATAAGCAAAAAGAAATAAAAATTGTCTGCAGAGGTAATCATGACTTGGTTTATAGCTTTCCAAATATTTTCTAGTCATACAAAAAACTACCTGTCTGCACTTGTAACTGACTCCTCTCAGCTTTCTCCTTCATCCCCAGATCTTCTCTTTTCTAAACAATAAAACCATTATAGTACAGCCTAAATCCTTCTCTGCATGTTTTGTACCTTATGCATTATCTTTAGGTAGTTGCATGTGTGAGGGTGTGTGTAGGTAATATATTAATACATGGACCAACACACCTTTCTATATAGGGATTGTTATACTATGCTTACTGTATAGTAGGTATCAGCACAGGATCGATTGTGGTGAGACGACAGCAGCTCCCTCTAGTTTATTTGGGCAAATGGAAGGAGAAAATACTAGCTTCTCTAATTTTTTTATTAATATGATAATTCTCTAATATACTACCTAAACCTAGGGACAGATATAAGAAGTAAAGTCCAAAGATTCCCCCCCGCCCCCGCCAATACTTCTCGGGCTTAATACATGAACCACCCCCTCAAGTAGAAATCAAAATTAATAAGTCTTTGGCAGAAAATTTATTATAAATATTTAAGTAAATTATGGCAATCTGTATCCTTTACTTGCTGGGTAAAAATTGGCAAAATTCCGTAACCTGAGTTTTCCTGTCTATAAAACATGGTTGATTTGATGTGAGAACTAAATGAGGTGACAAATGCAAAAGAATTCTGAAATTTATAAGCAAAGTTATTTACTTATTTTATTTTTTTTGAGACAGAGTCTCACTGTGTTGCCCGGGCTAGAGTGCCGTGGCGTCATCCTAGCTCACAGCAACCTCAAACTCCTGGGCTCAAGCGATCCTCCTGCCTCGGCCTCCCGAGTAGCTGGGACTACAGGCATGCGCCACCATGCCCGGCTAATTTTTTCTATATATTTTTAGTTGTCCAATTAATTTTCTTTCTATTTTTAGTAGAGATGGGGTCTCACTCTTGCTCAGGCTGGTTTCGAACTCCTGAACTCAAACAATCCGCCTGCCTTGGCCTCCCAGAGAGCTAGGACTACAGGCGTGAGCCACCGCGCCCGGCCAACAAAGTTATTTATTATCCTGTGGAATTATTTTTTTAAATCAGCGAAATGTCAGGGTTCCTATAATTGGGACAGCCCAGGTTGAGGAGGAAAAAGCTGATGTAAGATTAGATTTTTAGTAATATTAATATGGCTAAAATGTCATGTTTTCAGTGAGGCCATACTTAAAATTATAACCCTCTAATACTGAACAATCCCTCTTCTCCTTCGTTTTTTTTTTTTTTTTTTTTTTTTTTTTTTACCACAGTACTTATCGTCATCTGACATAGTAACTCTTTTAGCTATTTAATATTGTCAGTCTCCTGCCTGGAAGAGTGCCTACCCATAGTGGGTGCCCATACCTATTCATCGAATGACTGAAGGATGAATGAATGCATCTCGTGTTCACTGTCATCTGGATTTGCTTTTCAGGCATGATTCCGAATGATGTTCAAGGTCCTAGCTTGCTGGTTGACCTTCCTGCTGTGGCTCAAAGAAGGGAGCAAGATTTGCCTTTATATCAACTCCCCAGGACCCGAGCTGTTTCAAAGACCTCAGCGTGCACAGGAACGTTGTCTTCTAGATATGCCACCAGTGCATGGTATAATATCATTTGTCTCTGTTTTCACATTATAAATAGACTTTTGGGGATTTTTTTGCTTCTAAAAAATGCATGACTTTGGTGGAACATTTAGAAAATACAGAAAAATATTGTGAATAATATGGATATTTGACAAATACTATTATGAGAATTTCACATACGTAAGATTATGGCATATATACTATTTTATATTCTTGTATGAAATGATTACATAGGATATTTGCTTAGAGAATAGGTGATTAATTCAGAGTTTAACAACTCGAGTGAATGCACTTGAATACAAAATAAGAAGGGGATGGATTTAAGAGTTAGAGAATCTGTAGGAATTAGTGACTCGTTACGTGTTGGGAGTAGTGGGGTAGTTGACAATGACTTGTGTTTCTGGACTAGGAAACTAGATGGATAGTGGGACATTAACTCTTCAATATGGTATTACAGGAGTGCGAACAGGTTGGAAGGGAAAATGATGAGTTCAGTTTGCAACATTTTGATAAAGTATCCATAGAGCAACAAAATTAAGTGGAATCAGTTAGATACGTAAGTCTGGGGAAAATCGTTGAGGTCTGTCCTTGTACGGATCACTGGGAGCAAGATCAAATGTAGGTGAAACTCTTGGATTTTAACGGTCATCCAAGGGAAGCTCAAACAAGAAGAGCATAAGGCCATGATTGTAGTCCTGCAAAGCAGCAATATTTAAGGCATAAAGGGGAGAAGAAAACAGTGAGGTGGAATGAACGAAAAATGTAGAAGGAAATTGATAAACTAGAGGTTGATATAGAAACCAAAGGAAGAGAGCATCGTAACGAAAGGGTCATCACAGAGTGTGGTCATGAGGTCAAGGTAAATAAGACAGAGAAGTCTTCCTGGGGCTTGGCCACATGGATGCCTTGGTAAGGCATATAGCAGTTTTAGTAGAGTGGAATCAGAGAGTAGTGAGTTGAGAATTGAACACAAGGTCAAAAATTGGACATAGTAAGAACCAACTAATGTTTCAAGAATCCTGGTCATGAAAAGAGGCAGATAGAATGCATGTTACTTAGATAACTGGAGGATATTAAAGGATCAAGCAAGAGGAGGGTTTTATATATATATAGCTACACGTGTACATATACACACACATATATATACATATATAATACTACATTTATATATATATCACACACATATATAAATTGAGAGAATTTTATTTGCTTGTGGGAAAGATCCAGAAAAGGAATATGTAGATGTAAGAAAGGGGGTGATTAAACATAGTCCCTGGAGATGGTGGAGGGAGAGGAGGACATTGCACACCTGGAGAGAGAAACTTTGACAGTTTGCTAGGAGGAAGCTCACCTCCTGCACCGAGACAGGTGCCACGAACGAAAGGAAGGTACAAACACAGGTACTTTTTCTAGCTCGGAGCAGGAATCCAAAGGGATTCTTGTCCAATGACCATGGTTGTTTTTGTTTTTGTTTTTTTTCCCTGTCATTTAGGGGGAAGGTTATTCACTAAGAATAATGAAGTGCTAGTAAAGTGGGCATTAAAAGGAGAGATGTTGGAGCAGAGAATAGCTTTTGAAATAATAGTAGGAGAGTAATGGCTTAGTGGTAGGGAGGAGTTTAGAAAAATATTTACCATCTTTTTCTAACTCCCTAGGGAGTGAGAGAGTGAGCATCACCCACTTGAGCGTGGTATCCTTGGCAGAGAACCAGAGCTATTGAAGGGGAGGTTCTGAGAACATTGAGTGAAGAGGTCAGGGTGTGGATGGCTCTGCTTACAGTTCATGCAGATCCCGTGGAGTGTGATGGATGGTGGGGCAGGGCAGGCCTTGGGTGGGGTATGACAAGGGAGGCATCTCTGAGGGAAGGTTCAAGGGCATGGTGAGCACAGGAGACGAGAAAGTACACAAAGGAGTTGGAGGTCTTGGCAAAGCATAACAAAGATGAGAGACAGGGTGAGATTAATTGGCTTTAAGTGTTTTTATTGAAACCTTAATGCAAGAATGATTTTTGTGTTGACATATGAGGTGTTTCAGACTTTGATGATACGCATTTCTCTCTTTAGCAACCTGTGACCTTTACCCATAGTGTTAGATAGAAACTTCATAAAAAGTGGTTCTCTGTGCTTCTGCATAGCATGTCTCTGAATGGAAGGAAAGGACACAGGCCCAACTGCTTCTCCACTCAGCAGAACCAGACCAGCGGAGGCAAGGTGCTGCCAGACCCAGTGTAGTCCCTGGAGGAGCACACAGAGATATATAAGCAATGGATTCGTTTCCTTAGGAGAGACGCCTGGAAGGGGGAGAGTTAGGAACATATTTTATGACTTTTTATATAGTAAAATTATGTTTCAAATAAGACACCTTTGTTTTTCAAATTGCACTTGTGCTTAGTGTTAATAGTTGAATCTGGCAAAAGAATTCAGAAATGGGCTGCTTCTCTAAACTGTAGGATTGTAACGGTAGAATTAGAAAAGATCTAAACGGATTTCCAACCCACCCCTCCCTCCTTGCACAGAAGTGGAAATGGAACATGAGTTGTATCTTCCTCAGTTTGATCCCAGCTTCCGAGAGGGGAGATATGCTTTATTCTTATTCATTGCTTTTCCAAAGTGTGTGCTTTGACGAGCTTGCTTTCTTATGCAGGCACAGGCATTTAAGGACTCCAGCCTAACCTTTGTCTTAGGTCCAGGGGATAGGTCTTGCGGTTGGAAGTTGGCTTTTTGGCTGGCTGTCGGAGATTTAGGTTATATTTAAATCTCAGCAGGTTCCAGAAGAGTTCTTGTAAATCATATTACCCATTTTTATCTTTAAGGGTATGCCCCATGTGGAGTTAGGTTCATAGGTGAATGTTTATTGTCACTTGCGAGCCTTCCTGAGTAATGCATAGATTCCTTTAGATGATAGTCTTTCAGATAATCAGGGTGTCATGAAGTGCCAAATGGTATTTTAGGGTTTCTTCTTTGCTTTGATTTTTGTGTAGGACCCAGCAGAATTGTGTGTGTGAGTGTGTGTGTGTATGCACCAAGGGTAGGTATTTAGTGGCTGTGGTGTTTGCCCTGTGCTTTTCCACCAACTTCTGACCTTCGAGACAGGACTGTATTAAGAGTTCAGATGCACCTTGAAAGCAGAGATCTCTAGAAAGGGGACTGTGGGCAGGCAGAGTATGATACTGTGGAAGGAATCCAGGTGGTCTTGTTCAGGGTACAGTGGTACCCCTTATTCTCGGGACATGTATTCTAAGACCCCCAGTCAATACCTGTAACCACAGATAGTACCAAGCCCTATGTATATTATGTTTTTTTCCTATAAATACATACATAGGATAGTTGAGTTATGATAAAGGTTAATTTATAAATTAGGCACAGTAAGAGATTAACAAGAATAACTTACAATAAAATAGAATGATACCTCAACAGCGGATCTGATAACCAAGACATCTACCAAGTGACTCATGGGTGGGCAGCATATATAGCTTGGATACACTAGTCAGAGGGGTGATTCATGTCTGGGGTTGGATGGTGAGAGATTTCATCATGTTACTTAAAATGGCATACAATTTAAAAATTATGAATTATTTATTTCTGGAATTTTTTATTTAATATTTTCGGACTGCGGTTGACTGCCGACAACCAAAACCAAGGAAAGTGAAACTGCAGAAAGCAAAAGCTCTGATAAAGAAGGATCTACTGTCTCCTTCTCTCTTCCTAAGGTCACTTAAGATCGTGTCTTCAAAACTGACATGTTTCAGTCTTTTTCTTCTTCATCTCTGTTATCATCCGGGTGCCCCTAGTGGGGACACAAGTTTTTCTCAGACTAACAGGAGATCTGCAGTCTGGATACATTGTGGGGGCTGTTCAAGTCTGTCCTCTGCTGTTTATAGCTATATGACCCTGAAAGGGGTTCCCTTGTACCTATATTTCCTCACCTGCAAAGTAGGTAGTTCCACGGGTTAAATAAGAAGACATATAAAGGATTTATATAATTTTATTTGTCAAGTATATGTCAATAAAGCTGGAAAACAATACATATAGGAGGCTGAATATAATGCCTGGCCCATAGTAAATGTTCAATAAAAGGTTGACAGGGATGGTGATGGCAGTGACACTGATAGGTTCATAGGCCCTGACGTGTACGGAGGGTGGTATCCATTGTTGCTGAGTTTATTAAAACACTCAAAGAGATGGTAGATTTTTTTTTTTTTTTTAAGTAATAAGAGAGGATCAATTCCAGTCAAGGTGTCAGTATGGGAAGATGATGAACTTGAGATGAAAGACTTGTATTTAAAATGGAAAAAAGAAAAATCACATCGTAATGTATAATAGGATACAAATGAACAGAAATGGTTTCAGGTATTGGATACTTTTTATGAATAGCGGGAGGCGAAATAGGAGACAGGGTGTCATAGTCGGGGAAAGGATTAATTGAGTTAATGTTGTATTTTAAGCCCCTACAAAGTGCCTGACATTCAGTGCTTTCTAAATAAATGGTGTTTATCTAATAGGTTTATCTTTGAGTTAAACTGCCAAAAATTATGTGTAAATTCAGAACATTGGTGGGAGACAGAGGATAAGACAGAGAATGAATTTGTGCATTTTAGAGAGAGGGCTACTCTGGAGTGTTTGAGTTGGGAGGAAAAAGGGAAGATTTCCAGGGAGCTGTGGCCTGGGTCTGTGATGGTTTCCAGTTCTGACCATGCTGTTGCAGCTGTGGCTCACACTACGGATGAAGATGAATGTGAAAAATTAGGAGAAGAGGTACATAGAAATAGTACATTAATGCCTTTCGAAATATAATTAGATCTTTGATTACTAATCCAGGACCTACAAAAGGCCAGAAGAGAAGGGCAGTTGACCTGAGGAAGCAATTTACTCTTACGGTTTGAGCTTCTGTTTCTTAACAAAACTCCTGAACACTATTTTACATGTTAATAAAATGCACAAATTTTAAAGTACAGTTTGGTGAGTTTTGATAAATGTATATGTTCATGTTACCTACACCTCAATGAAGATATGGAACATTTTCATCACCCGGAAAGTTCTCCCCCATCCCTTTGTGTATCTTGTGCCAGGCAACCGCTAATCTTATTTTCTAACACTGAGGATTAGTTTTCCCTGTTCTGGAACACATGTAAATGTAATCATACAGTATGTATTTTATCATATCTGGCTTCTTTTGCTCAGCACAATGTCTTTGTCATTTTAAATGCTAATGTAAGGGAACGCCTAATTCTTTTTTTTAATTTTTTTTTAAGAGAGAGTCTCACTCTGTTGCCCGGGCTAGAGTGCTGTGGCATCAGCCTAGCTCACAGCAACCTCAAACTCCTGGGCTCAAGCAATCCTTCTGCCTCACTGAGTAGCTGGGACTGCAGGCATGCGCCTCCATGCCCAGCTAATTTTTTCTATATATTTTTTAGTTGTCCAGCTAATTTTCTTTCTATCTTTAGTAGAGACAGGGTCTCTCTCTTGCTCAGGCTGGTCTCGAACTCCTGAGCTCAAACGATCCACCCGCCTCGGCCTCTCAGAGCGCTGGGATCACAGGCGTGAGCCACCGTGCCTGGACTAGGAACGCCTAATTCTTTATATACTCATGTCAGATAAAAATTTGCAACTTCAAAATCCTATGGAACATCTGTATAAGTAACTCCTACTGGTTTGGCAAACACAGTGCCTATTCTCCCTGGTTTCAAAGCTCATATTCCCTGTGGTGTGTCACAGAATATTGCCATATATAATCTGTCTATATAGAGAAGAAAGAAATCTGGAGATCATGTAGTCACAATCAGGGCTCTCCCTGCTTCTGTCATTTTCGGGCACTGAGTTTACTTGACTCTCATAGAGCTTAGTACGTAGGAATTTTATATGAAAATAATTATTATTGAAGAAGCAAAGTCACCTTGGCTATCCGGAGTCATCTCAGTTTTGTATGATGTTGAAAATTTTATTTGCAAAGAATTTGTATATCATGATCAAGTCTTACTATTAATATCGACTTGTTTACTAATGGGGCACTCTTTCCTCCCAAATCTATAAAGAATGATAACTTTGGGCATTTGTTATAAAGGCCTGAAATAAAAAGCATTGTTTCTGTTGGGTGGTTAATTCCTTTGGGGAAAAATTAGTTATAAAACTCTAGTTGAATGAAAAGTTCAGTTTATTTTTTTAAAATAGTTTTAGGTTCACAGCAAAATTGAGAGGAAGGTACAGAGATTTCCTATATACCCCCTCCCACCCCATGCATAACCCCCTACCAGAGTCATACATTTGTCACAGTGATGAATTTAGATGGACACATTATCACTCCAAGTCCTAGTTTACATTAGGGTCACTCTTGGTATTGTATGTTCTGTGGATTTGGAAAGTTCAGTTATTGTAAGATTTGAGATTCTAACTGATAAAGCTATTGGTCATATTTAATCACAGTGCAAATTATAAAATTTACCATTAGAAATTGCTTGTTAAAGTTTCATATATGTTTGTGCAAATTTATATCTTAATGTGTACATAAGTGTTTTATTTTCTCAGTTAAACTTTAATTTGGGTTAAAATTATGTGCATTCCTCAATGTAAAGAGACTACATTAATTTGTGTAGTTGCTCATCTTTTGTGGCAGTATTTCTAAAACTAATCACGCTATGTGGATAAGATTTCACAAGTTTTATCTCTCATTAGATATGCAATAATCAGAATAAAATATGTGTATCCCAGATCCCAGAAGAAAGGTAACATGCCATGAAAAAGTCAGTGAGTCTCTTCTAACAGAATAATCCTTTTGTTACATACTTTATCAAAGAAAGCTAAACTTTTTCATATTCTAGACAGAATATGTCTCTTCTGAGTTGTATGTGAGAATCAGCAGTTCAGGAAATTTTTAGTGTTTACTTTTTAAAATAGCTCCTACTATTTGTTAAGGCTTTGTTTCTCTTCTATTTTAGGTTGTTTTAAAAAAAAAAAAAAACTAAAGCATTTAAATCCTTTAATGATAGTATAAATGTGCCATAGTAAAAATACTTGCCTTTTTCTCCCCCTTACTGCCTATCATGATTTGGGGTACAGGAAAGTGGAAAATGGGGAGGAGGAAGATTTCAGTGTTGTTTTGGTTTTAGTTTTCAATTTTACTTCAATTAATAATTATTTCAAGGAAAATTCTAAAATACAGCAGAGTATGAAGATATTTCTTGCAGTAATGTCCATATTTCAAAAAACAGGGTATAATCTAACTTCATTGTATACTGCGATAGCAGATAAATTACATCAATACCATGAACTATTAAGGGACTACTAAATAAAAAAATGAAAATGATTATGATAATATGTAGGGAAATTTTGATATAAATTCAACTTAAAAAATTATAAAGGAAATGAATGTTGGATGAGACTCAGTTAGGTGCCAGTCATATCTTATTTAATCCTTATTACTATTGCATAGATCACCAAAATATGAAAGTTTGTGCTATGATCACAACTATCCAATGCCTATATATGCACACATGTGCAAAGAACCATAATGTGATAGGATAAAGTGAAGACAGTTCACTTAAGTTGTAGAATCATGGATGTTTCATTGAAGGATTGCATTCAGCTGCTCATGAACATAAAATCCACTCAGCGTGGCTTAACCAAACAGCTTAATTTTTTTTCATGTAATAAGTCTTGAAGAAGGTGGTTTTAGGATGGTGTGGTGCTACTGTCATCAGGGTCTTAAGTATCTTCTTCCTTTCTGCTCTGTTGTCTTTAATGTATGGCTTTAGTCCTTATTGTTTCTTTATGACTCGAAGATGGATGCTTCACCACCAGTATCACCTCTGCATTCTAGGCAAGAAGAAGGGGAAGGCATAGAGCAAAAGGCTTCTGCCAGCTGATTCTCCCTCTCTTTGATGAGTTTTTCTGGAACTCTCATCCCGGGACTTTTGCTTCCATATCACTGATCAGAACTGTGAAACATGGTTCCCATTAGCTAAAAGGAAGTCCAGAAAACGTATTTTTTCCAAAGCTAGCATAGTGCCATCTGGAATATAAGAGGGGTTATGTTGGTAAGGAGGAAGGGGAGAAAAAGACATTAGATAAGTAACCAGCAAGTGTTTGCCAAATTGTTTTTCCCTGAATGCTGTGATACTTTGATAGCGTTTTATACTTTCATAGAAATTAGACTGGCTAAGGTAAGAAAGACATCTGGCAGTGGGTGAGATATGCATGATCCCAATTCTTAACTGGTGTTTGGACTGGCTTTCTCCTTTTCACACAGCCTTAAGACTGTTTTATCTTAGAAAGTCCATAGAGAGGCAATAAGGTGGAGTTTTGCTATTTTTTAAAGGCCTTGTTTGAGCGTTCAGAGAAAAATGGAGCATTGAAACTTAGTGCTGAAACAGATTTGGATTCATGTGGATAGGTGTTGAGGTTGTGTAGTATGTCTGAGCCTTGTCTAAGCCATAGTTCTTCATGTGTAAAATAATAATATGACCTATGCTTACTTTAGAGGGAATTTATGAAAATGTGATGGAAGAGACAGTGCCTACATTTTTGTATAGAGTAATACAATTTACAATATCAAACATATTTCATTTGGTGATCCAAAGTCACATACCTGTTTCACAGTACAGGTTAGACTTGAACTTAAGATGCCTGATTTTTCTTCCAGATAATATATGGTAATGTCTTTCTATACTCTGTTAGATCTCATTATTCTTGTAACTGATTAAGTATAATTGTATAAACTGAAAATTATTATATAACCATACAAAATATTCATGGGATACAAATGGTGGGAATTATTTAGGGTTAGAGTTACTGAAAAATCTAGAAAGAAGGTATCATGTTTACCTGTGTATGTTGATTTATACTTGATACATTATATATGACATGTCAATTTATATCTGTTAGCTAGTCAGTCCATATTAAGTTGCAAGGAATATATTTTATATATTGGTAGAGAAACAAATGTGAAATTGTACAAATCAAACACATATTTTTAAAAATAGCTTCTAAAGTGTCACCAATAAGAGTGTTTATAGCCAGGCACAGTGGTGCATGCCTGTAATCCCAGTGATTTGAGAGGCTAAGGGGGAGGATGGCTTGAGACCAGGAGTTTGAGGCCAGCCTGAGGCAAGAGCGAAGCGCCTATTTCTAAAAACTAAGAAAAATTAGCCAGGCAAGGTGGTACTTGTCTGTAGTCCCAGCTACTTGGGAGGCTGAGACAAGAGGATCACTTGACCCCAGGGGTCTGTGATTGTAATGAGCTATGATGATGCCACCGCACTCTAGTCTGGGCAGCAGAGTGAGACCCAGTCTCACATAAAAAAAAAAAAATGATTTATAATAATTCTATGATTTTCTGGTGCTGGGTGGGGATTTGGATTTGTTGAATGTTAAAGCAATATATTTTTGCTTGCATATTTATTGATGTGTGTATTTTAAAAGCTTAAAAATTAAGAACTATTTAACTGCCTACAGATTGTGCAATTTCAAAACTTTCCAAGAACCTTTAATAATAAGAGTGTGTCTTATAAGTTGTGTGCATTTTTTTCTTTCTTTCTCCTTCCTCAGTGAGTTACCTGAGAGAGAAGAAGGAGAAGGAGAAGAAACTCCAAACTTCAGCCACTGGGGTCCACCGAGAATGTATGTGGATGACATTATTGGCTTCCTCAGTAGGGGCGTAATCAGCTGCTGTTTTGTTTAACAGAGCATCCTTCAGTCATACTCTACTGATTGAGAAACTGGGATAATTCACATGGAAGCTGGTCTAAATTTTAGTTTCACTTTTTCTTATCTAGAGATTTTTAGCCAGACAAAAAGACTATAACCAATATTAGGAAAATCTTTGATACCCTTGCAGAGAAAGCAATTTATAGATATCCTTCTATGATAGTAAACTGATGGGCCAAGTATAGTTTATCACTGTGTCATTAAGCAAGTCAGGTAAAGCTGCCTTGAATACAGTAAAGCTGCTTTTTTCTAGATAACAACAGTAGTTGAAGCTTCTGGTATATATCAATTTATCTCTGCTTTCCTCCCCTGGTGGGAAATCCAAGTTTGTGCTAACAGAATATGTTGAAAACCCATTTTCCCTCGGTTTCATTGTAGTTTTAAGAACTCACCAAGGCTACACTTTAAGATGATAAAAGTCTTCCTTCAGCTGCTCTCTCTAATCTTTATGCATTATTAATTCCACCACCTCCATCCATCCTGTTTTTTTCATGTAATTGAATTCCGAGTTTTGTCTTAAAAACTCTTTGCTATTTTCTGAGTTACTTTTTAATTTAATTATTGGCCACAATCTCTGCAGTTGAAGCAAAATCTATAATACTTTGAGGGGTAAGTTTCATTCCCTACTTTCTTTTTAAAAATGACATGGAGGTAGGAAAAAAAGAAAACCTTCTACTTTAGGAGCAGATAAAATCTGTCCTCTGATTAAACAACCACAGAGTTAAACCTGCTGACTGGGAAAAGCGGCTTGGGCAATGAGCCTCTCAGTGACAAATTAATTTTATTCTGAAAGCCTGTGCTTTTTTGCCAAAATGATATATGTGTCTTTCTTGATTTTTTTTCACCCATTTGTTACTTCCTCAGTCCATTCTTTGCTAACATTGTGGATATAAATGAAAGGGACTAATCACAGAAAATATATTGTAATAGGAGATGGGAACACTAAGGCCTAACTAAATCTTCTCTGAATATTGAGTTATATTTATTGTTTTAGAAATCTATCCATTTCACAATTGAAACCTTTACATGTCATGAATTATTTATAGTATCTTATAATTTTGGAACTAGGTAAAATTTATATAACATGTAAAAATATATTTAGAAAATTTATTTTTATATAATAAAATATGTCACAAGGATTTGGTACAAGCTGAATACTTACAGCGACAGCCTAACAGATTAAATTAACTTGTTAATGAGTAAGTTTTGTTTTTTTCTTTTTATAGTGTTGAGATTTTTAGGGAACCCGATGTGTCTCTTGGTATCAGTATTGTTGGTGGACAAACTGTTATAAAACGCCTAAAGAATGGAGAGGAGCTTAAAGGTATATTTATCAAACAAGTTTTAGAAGACAGTCCAGCAGGAAAAACAAACGCACTTAAAACTGGAGATAAAATACTTGAGGTAAATGATATTAAAGTACTATTTTTGTTTGAAACATATTGTAAGATAGTGAAATATTCATTTAGGCGGAAGACCTTTCTTCTGTTGGGGAGTATGTGTGTACAATTAGTGTACTCTATTTATATGCCTTAGTTTGTATGATGTGTGCACAATTTACAGGTTTCTCAAGTAGGGCAGGGTAAGCAAATAAAATGATAAAACAAAAACCTCAGTTGATTGCAAAAAAATAGTTTAGCTAACAAAGGGCTCTATATAGAATGGGGCAGATGGTGGGCATTATGCTTCTCCTGCAGTCTTTAATGAGCTCTAAATTTTTGTTTTCAAGCTCTAAATTTTATAATTGTGTGTCGGTGGAATATTTATGCTTGTTTAGAAAAAGAAGTTGACCCTGGAACATCAAAGACCCCACTGGGGGAAGGGTGGATCCATGGTTTGCATGTGATAGGCTTTGTGGGAGCCAAGTTTTAAAGGCACATCAGAGCACTTAGAATGCCCTGAGGTCTGACTGTGATGCATTTCTTTGCGTTGGGTTTATTGGGTGGCACCATAGTAGGTATCTCCAATCACAGTCTGCTCCTTCTTGATATGCTGCTAACCATCAGCCATGGTGTTTCAGTTCTAACAGAAAGAAAGGAACCCTGGAGGTCACAAAGTCTGGACTCTGTCCTTTTACTTTACTATGTGTTCTTAGATTATTAGACACATCTGAGACTATAAACCCAATAGCATTTTAGTGAGGATTAAATCCAAGAATTACATAAAGCTACTCTGTATATGCAAATTTTGGATTATATTTGTGCTATGAAATGCTTAAAAATTTTTTGGAGCACGCTGATAATATGGCAGTGAAGACAATGACCTAAAGTCCCTTCCCTTATGGTGTTTACATGATAGTGGAGGTGGGGGTAGAGAGTAAAAATAAGTGATGTGTAGAATGTTAGATTGTAGTAAGTAGCTAGGGAGAAAAATAAAGCAGGGGAGGAGGATAAGGAGTGCCAGTGTGGTATGAAGGCATTAGTTGGAATCGTAATAGATTTGCTGTGGAAGATGATACTGGGACAAATTATGGGGGAAGAAGAAAGTGAGGAAGCTGAGGTAGGAGCTTGCCTGGATGTGTGCTCAGGGAGCAGCAAGAAGGCCAGCATTGCTGGTGCGGAGTGAACACAGGATAAGGCATGAGAGGGAAGGCTTGCGGAGTAAGGAACCACCTCATGGAGAGCCCGGAAGGCCTGGAACACCTGCTCTGAGTGCCATGGAAATCTGTTCAGGAGTTATGAGCACATATACGATGTCTAAAAGGAATATTCTCACTTCTGGGGAAAGGGTGGAAGCAGGGAACTCAGCTGGAAGGCTGTTGCAGTCATTTAGGAGAGACACAATCACAGTTGTGGCTCAGACCAGCGGGAGAGCAGTGGAGATAATGAGACATGGTCAGATTGTGGATCTATTTTGCAAGGAGAACAACACGACTTACTACCAGATTGAGTGCAGAGGAGAAGAAGAGTAAAAGATAATTTTAAAACTTTTTAGCTTCAAGAATCAAAGGTAGAATTTCCATTTACTGAGATGTGGAAGACTGTGAGAAGAGCAGATCTGGGGAGACACGTTTTGAGTATGTTAAGTTTAAGTTGGATGTTAAGCCCATTTAACATCCAAGTAGATGCAATAGGCAGTTAAATAAACAAACAAAGATTCTATATCCTTGCTAAATTTTTCCCCCTCAGTTTCAGTTAGAGGTGTGTTTGTCTCTTACTGTGATTATGGATTTGTTCATTATTTCTTAGTGATTCTGTTTTTGCTGTGTATATTAAAGGTTTTGTTGTTAGTTACATAGAACTTCATATCTCCTTAGTGATTTGTTTTTGACATTATGTAGTTTTCCTCTTTATTCCTATTAATTACTTATTGCCTTAAATTCTATTTTGTTAATATTGGTACTCCTGCTTTCTTTTAGTTAGTAATTTATGTGGTACATTTTTTTATTCCTTCTTTTCACCATTCTTTGTCATTTTGTCATTTTTAGTCTTTGTCAGCAACATACAACTGTATTTTGCTTTCTTAAAGTCTAAATTGATAATCATCTAGTATGTAAGTGAGATTAATTCATCTTTTACTTGATTACTGATTACTGATCTATTTGAACTTAATTTTTAAATATTTATTTTGTATTTTGTTTTATCTGTTTTCCTCTTAACTTTGTATTTAGAAATAATTACAGATCCACAGAGAGAAGCTACAAAGCAATGTACAGGGAAGTCCCATGTACCCTACCCTCAGCTCCCCCAATGTTAATATCTTACACAACTATACTGCAGTAACAACACTAAGAATTGACATTGACTCAATGCAGAGAGTTTATTCAGATTTCACCAGTTATGCATGCATTCGTTTGTGTGTGTTTGTAGCTCTATACAATTTTATCACCTGTAAAACCTTGCATGTGCACCAACACATTCAAGAGACTCAACTGTATCATTACCACAAAACTTCCCTTCCCCTCCCTCCTCCGTCCCTAACCTCTGGCAACCACTAATCTGTTTCTCCGCGTCTGTAATTATGTTATTTCACAATTGTCACATCAGTGCGATTACGTGTTATGTGTCTTTTTGAGATTGCCTTTAAAAAAAAAAAAAACTCGGCATGATTTCCTTGAGGTTCATTCAATTTGTTATGCGTATCAATAGTTCATTCCTTTTTATTGCTGAGTAGTACTCTTAGTCCATTCAGGCTGCTGCAACAAAATACCATAAACAGAGAAATTTGTTTCTTACTGTTCTGGAAGCTGGGAAGTCCAAGATCAAGACCTTGGCAGATTTGGTGTCTGGTCAGCACCTGCTTTCTGATTCATAGATCGTGCCTTCTTTCTGTGCCCTCATGTGGTAGAAGGGACAAACTAGCTCTCTTGGGCCTCTTTTATAAGGCCACTCTAATCCCATTCTTGAGGGCAGAGCCCTCGCGACCTAATCACATCCCAAAGGCCCTACATCCTAATACATTCACCTTGGGGGTGAAGATTTCAACATATGACTTTTGGGGGGGACACATACATTCCAACTATAGCAATACCTACCATTCCATGATATGGAAGTGCCAGTTTGTTTAACATTCACCCATCGAAAGACACTTGGGTAGTTTCTGGTTATTGGCTATTATAAATAAAGCTGCTATAAACATTTATAGACAAATTTCTGAGTGAAAATAAGTCTTCATTTCCCTGGGATAAATACCCAAGAATGTAATTGCTGGGGTTTATGGTAAGTCCATTCTTAGTTTTGAAAAGAGCTTTAAAACTGTTTTCGTGAGTGTCTGTACCATTTTACCTTCTACCTGGCAATGCGTGAGTGATTCAGTTTCTCCACATTCTCACCAACATGTTCCTTTTACTCTCAGACTCAACACAGAACACTGCTGTGACCAGATAGGGTTTTTTTTCCCCCTCAAACCAACCAGTTCTCCAGTGAACACCAACAGGGTGTCTTATAATTTGGTTCAATTCTGACACTATGTACCCAGAGTTGGTGTCAGATCCCACAGGTGGGGGACTCAGTCCCACAAGACTGTCCCCACTGCAGATGCCAATAACAGGTAGTAGATTGTTACCTATACTTCTGACCAACCAGCTACAAACAGGTTCCCACAACCCTCTTTTTGGATTTGATTAATTTGCTAGGACAGCTCACAGAATTCAGGGAAACACTTACACTTACCAGTTTATTATTAAGGATATTACGGAGGATATAGATGAACAGCCAGATATAGAGATGGAGAGGGCAAGGTACGGGGTGGTGTAGAACTCACGTGCCCTCTCTAGGCGCACCACCCTCCTGGCACTTCCACGTGTTCAGCAACCCAGAATCTTACAGTCATTTAAGAATTTTTATAGAGCTTCCTCTCCAGCCCCCATCCTCCCTTCCTTCCCCACCCCTCTGAGTAGGGGGCTGGAAGTTCCAACCCTCTAATTCTCTACTGGCTTGGTCTTTCTGGTGACTGGCCCCATCCTGAGGCTGTCTAAGAGCTCTACCAGAAGCTACCTCATTATCATAAACTCAGGTGTGATCCGAAAGGGGCCTTTATGAATAACAGAGGACACTTCTGTCACTTAGGAAATTTTAAGAGTTTTGGATACTCTGTGATTAGAACAAGGGCAAAGACGAAGTATTAATACATATCATATCATGTCACAGGCACTCACATCCGAGTCCCTGTGCTTGTGCACTCACTTTCCTCTTCAACCTGTTCACCTTCAGGGGCTGATCACTCTGTCACTCCCCTGCGTATGCTCCCAACTCTTCTAATCCTTCTTCCTTTCACTGAACTTGCCTAGGAGAACCACACTCTAGGTAAGTGCGATTCTGCTTATTCCAGGTCTCTGGCGTGGCTGGAGACAGTAACATCTGAAATTCACTACCCACCTTCTCACGTGGGTCTTTAGTTCATCCCTGCTGTCCTGTAATAGTCCCCTCGTCTCCTACTTTTATAGGTAGCTATTAATATTTCAAATCTCCTATGCCTCTTTTTTCAGTCTTACTCTGAGTTTATGGTCCTAGTTTCGGGTTTTATTGGGAAAATAGAGGTTGTCAAAAGGGAACTTCCCCTTGCTTCCTGTTCGTACCAAATCTTCTAACTGCATCTCTAACAACAGAGGAACTAGATTTGTGCTTCTCTCTAAAGCCAATCTCTAACGTGTGCAGCGGAAATCATTCCTTCTTGACTGTCCAAGGAGATTGCTCTTAGAATTGTCACCTCTGTCTCCTTCCTCATCCATTTTTTTCTCTCCACTGCATCATTATTGCTGTAATATCCTCTATCTAAAAACCTCCCTCGATCCTACATCCCTCTGCACCTACATTCTTATTTCTTTGGTCCTCTTATAGCAAAATAGTATCCACAAATTGTCACTATCCACTGACCATAGACCACTCCAACATTTACCAAGACTTTGTCACATTTTAGGTTTGAAAAATTAGTTTTGTTAAATATGTTTATGAAATACAGAGTGCTCTTGGAGATTTATGGGCATGTTAGCAAGTTAGATTCTCTGAGATTTCTATAATGAGAAACCCAAATTTACTGAACACAGAATACTTTTAGTAAAAGAAACTGTGGGGTTTTTTTTTTTATGCTTCTTTTTTAATACAATTTGAGAAATGTTCAACTACTCATTTGTGATAATAAGCAATTTGCTTGAAATATCGTTCCTCTCAGCTGAATGGAGAGATGATAAAAGTCCATAGCGATTCCTCCTTCCCTCTCCCCCATCCCACTCATCTTAAGGTTCTGTTACTGACTGAGTTACCTGTTTTGGGTAATTATACTTAACTAGGGCTATTGTTATTAATATATTTGTCTTGTTTACTTTTCTTGAAGGTGAAACATATTCTCCAAAAACAGCAAAGCTTTTTTATGGTCCAATCTTATTTTCCTCTGGCTGTAGTCTAATTCATTAGACTCTGGCTGCTCTCATAAGTAGATAACACACGTAAACTTTGAATTAACCTACCCACCACATCTAGTGCCTTTCTAATTGAAATAAATTGCTTCTGTGTTTTAGGTGTCTGGAGTCGATTTGCAGAACGCCTCCCACAGAGAAGCAGTTGAGGCCATTAAGAGTGCAGGAAACCCCGTGGTGTTCATTGTCCAGAGCTTGTCACCCACTCCAAGAGTAAGTTTTAGTTCATATTTTCAAAAAGTTTAACAATGTTCTCTATACCTGTGGACCAAGCTTTGCCTCTAAGTATTCTTCCTATATATTTTCATTGTTATTCAGTTAGACCATTACTTAGAAAAGTATTAGCTGCATTAAAAACTTAGTCATTAACTTCAGTTTCCCATTTTTTTCCTCAAACTTTGATCTCTTGGTCAAATTTGAGTCATTATGGTATGTACTGGATTAAATCTGAGGCTGTGGCATTAAACAGACCTGTTTTCAATTCCTTGATTCCCTATACCAGCTTTGCTAACTTGGAGACAACTTACTTTTCTGAGCCAGTTACTTTATTTACGAAATACTTTGATCATAAAGAATCAGATATCAAAACATTCTAGAGATGCTATCAATTGTTCTGTGTGTTTATTAAAGCATATAAAAATACAAATGTGTTGACATATTATGTATTGTTGTATGCTCTAAAGTTGGAGATTCCAAATTTTTAAAAAAGCAGTATTTCATCATGAAAATTTTCTTCTGTAATTAATTACTCCTTTGGTATGGATTTGGAACTCTGATATGAAGATGTCACTGGTGGGATGTGTATTTTATATTGCACTGTGCAGCAGAAATGTCATCCTTAAATCCTATAACTGGTAACTGGAAGCAATATTATGTTTCTTTATTCTATAATGGAAGTTAGCTGTTCCAAACATGCACCTCTGAACAGTATAAAAACTTTGCTTACTTTAAAAAAGTGTTTGCTTTTCAGTATAGTTATATAATGCTTTCCAACCTTTTGTATGTCAAGGCATACAGAAAATAATATTTGTACAGCAAACTGTGCAAAGAGATGGTTGGCCACCCCAGTGTTGGGGACATGGATGTGATGTTTTGGCATACTTGGAACCTCCCCGTGCACGGTGGGCTGCAGCCTCCACCCTGCCTGGCCACCTCTGCTGTGTTGCACTGCATTGCAGTCCAGTGCCTTCCATTCTTAGCACTGTGTTTGCACCATCAGGGCTAATTGAGAGAGGTGAACTGAATAAAGTCCTCTCATTTTCATAAAATTTGAAATTCAATAAGAATGTTTGGAATCTAGTTTTTCACTCTTGTAATATTGTGAGGATGTAGCTGAGGCCATCACTTTTATTTCTGGAAACTGAGTTCAGTAGGAAAATTGGCCAAATTATTCTTTGCCAAATTATACTTCCAAATCAACAATTTCGAGTGAGAATGAGTCAATCAAATTATACATTTATGCAGCCAGCTGTGAATGCCCTGCCAAAAAAATATTCAAAGCATTTAATTAGATTTTAAAGTCAACCCAAAAGGCCAGGCTTTCAATACAGCCTTTGCTAGTGAGCTGAGGTACATATTTTGGCTTGGATAACATGAACTGTACAATTTCTTTCAATGTCTCTTCAGCATCATGCAATATCATGCCATGCTCAAGTTACTTATCCCTTATGTAGTGTAACAGACTGCCATGTCATGCTTTCAGTTCATCAAGCATTGCTCTATCTGTGGTCCTACCCAAGGGAGCATAATCCATCGATGGTGTTAATTACTCTGCCCATGACTTGTTCCATTTTCAACTTTGCTTTTAGTGCAAAGTAATTCTTATTGCGTGAGGCAAATGAAAAAGAAATCAAGTTTCATATCTTTGATCATCCAGGAACAGAAAATACAGACAATGCATAATCATTTTTGTCTAGTCTACATTAAATTTTGAACTTTCCTTGAAACCCAAAAAGAAGTCATTTCCTAATGTTCTGTCCATCATAGGGCCAATGTCCAAAAGTGCCTTGGTCACATACAAATCTCCAGCACCAGGAGTTGAGTGGTGTGGTGTTTAGATGTGTGCATCACCAGCTGCTTTACGAGCATCACCAATACATCACCTTTTTAAGCTTCTTCTGACTTTCTCAAGTATGTTTTCGGCATGTTGGAAATGTGTGTATCCACTTAGATTTACTTGGCCGATGCTTATTTGAGAGTAGGACCCACAGAAAGTTTTTATACCAAGGTAATTTTTTCCACTTAATAACATAACTGCATTTCACAGACGCAGCACATATTTTTTTCCCATATTTAAAAACAAATCCTTTTTGAAATTAGGTCATCTCTTCAGCTCATTAAGTTTATGATCCAGTGTTGTTTTCTTTCTTCCTGTATTCCAGTTCTACTTCCTAATACCATTGGTCTATAATGACATCTAATTTTTTGGACACATACATATTTTGCATATTAATCATACAGGAATATATTTTTACTTGGACAAGAAATAGGCTGTCTTCTAGTTTTCTAAAAGATGTAGTATTATTATTTTGTCTTCTAAATTTTGCTAATGCTATGCTTACAGAAATATATTTCTCTGCTACTTGAAAAACAGTGTAAACATGAGTGGCGACTGACATTCTGCCCCATCCCAAAGCTTCTGCTATTTAGCTTCTGCTGGTTTTTCCATGGGAGAAAGTAGGTCTAGTGAACACAGATGGCCTCACTTGTCAGGGACGCAAAGTGTTAGTTACAAAATTCATTAGAACGAGAAACACATACCTGTAGACTTGCCAGTCTTTGAACTATAACTGAGGTTGTTGTGTATATTAAGTAGAAATAGAAATACTAAGGGCTAGCACAATGTCTATTCACATAGGAGGCACTGGATATATGTTAATGTATCATTATTGTTTTTATTTAAATGAAACATTTCTGAGACTTTCTCATTTATTCTAAAATTATTTTTTATA